CTGACCCTTTTTCTCTGGGGATGAAAAGAAAAAAATCCAAAGTATTATTAGTCTAAAGGCCGCGGTCGTATTGATTACTGATCAGAGAGTGAGTCTAACCCATCACCATGTGTGCTGCCAGTATGGACCACAACTCTGTTCACTCTGGTGTGGAAAGTATAATGAACACCTGAAATACCTGTGGCTTCTGCATTAACAGCAACATGTAGTTCTCAGGTTACAGTGCAGGGTTTTCAGCTACGATGTACCTGTGATGCAGATTTAACACAGAAGCATAAATGCACTGTTGACTGTCTCCGTGGCTGTGAGTCAGCTGCCTCCAAACGTGCTGCGTTTGCAACTTCTTAAATATTCTCCAGACAAGCAACCTCCATTAAAAACACAAAACAAATTCTGAATATAGTAAAAGCAAAACCAAAACTAAAGATTTCCAACAATATAAGAACAAAGCTGAAATGACCAAACTAACTGAAGGTAAACTCAAAGCAAGCCTCAAAATGAAACTAAAAGAAAAGCTCACTTGAAAATGCAAAATTATAACAACTCTGGAAACACAGAAATAGATCAACCATTTAAATTGAGAAAATGTCTCTAAGAAGTTGGGGCAGAGCTGTGTTTACCACTGTGCAGCATTCCCCCTTCTTTTAAAAACAGTCTGTAAACATCTGGGAACTAAAGAGAGCAGCTGCTGGACTTTTGGGAGAGGAATGTTGTCCTGGTCTTGTCTGATAGATGATTCTAGCTGCTCAACAATCCTGGGTCTTCTTCTGGGTATTTTTCCCTTCACGATGCTCCAGAAGATCTGGATTACAAGCAGACTAGTTCAGCACTGTGACGCTTCTACTATGACGCCATAGCGTTGTAACAGCTGCAGTATGTGGCTCAGCACTGTCTTGCTGAAATATGAAAGGCCTTCCATGAAACAGACTGGAACTTGGTGAACTTCTTTAATAAGAAACTCTGCTTTACTCAGATGCTCTTTCTTATTCCCAGCCATGTCACTGACCTCTTGCCAATGAACTGAATTATTTGCAAAATGTTCCTCAAGCTGTTTCTTTTTAGTACAACTTCCTTTTCTAGCCTTTTGTTGCCCCCATCTCAACATTTTGACACATGTCGCTGTCATCAAAATTTTAAATTACTTTATTTTTCCTAAAATGGTCAATTTTCGAGGTTTAAACATTTGATGTGCTATCTATGTTCTACTGTGAATAAAAAAAGGCTTTATGAGATTTTACAGCACCCAACTTTTTTGGAACTGGGGTTGTATTTGGATCTATATTTAAAGTAAGGAAGCACAGTAAAGAAGTAGCTGAGAGGGAAGCATTATTCATTCATCAGTAGTGTAACTTCGGGAATAATGCCACCTCAAAAACAGAATAAACAAACAGCTTATTTTTCAGAATCTTTAAACACGCTGTGCATTTACCCCGTGTTAGGGTCAGGATTTTTCTGTAATGAGATCTGTCTATGTTTTATCTGGACTCCAGGAAACGGATCACGGAGGAACAACCAAAAAGCTTTCCTGCCTGATCTGAGTCCCTCATCCTCCTTAACTCCTTAGAACAACAGTGCACTGCAGGGAGGAAGCATGACACATACGGAAAGTTCCTGAACACCATTTCCCATTTCAGGAGGAGGGGAGGCCGAGTCATGTTGTCCTGAGCTTCCCATCCTCAGACTGAATCACAGGCCGCTTCAAACCGCAGACGTTTACGGTTAGCATGATGAAAGTACCATTAAAAATTCAGGAGTTTAAATCTTTTAATTGCAGGGGGAAAAAAAGCATGTAGCACACATGTGAGCATCAGCACACACACACAGGCTGTAAACGGACGCTCACAGAGGCAGGAATTACGTCAGGCAGAAAGCAGTATGTCGGTAATCGTATTCAGGCGTTCTCTTCTGAGAATCAGAGCAGCAGCAGGGAGAGAAAAATATACCTGAATCAGTGTGCAGGAAGCACTGCTCTCAATGTCTGTCCAAAGTGAAACATATAAACACAACTCACGCAGCCGCTGTCTGTGGACGACTGCGTGTCAATATGTGCGAGGAGTCAATATCCAGATCAATTACTTTCTGCCTGACTGCACAAACGTGCACACATGCTGCCCGCTCAAGGCTGCAGAAAACATGGTTAGAGAAACAACCTAACCTGATGAGGGCTTGTTTGACAATGAAGAAGATGTTTTATATGACCTAAAACTTAATGTGCAGCCTATCTGAGCTCTAACAGAGAGCTGGTGTCAGAAACTGATCCACGTAAAGCACGCTGCAGTGTTTGGCTCGTAATATGTTCTGAAGGGGCAAACAGATTTTTCTCAGTATTTCTTTTTCGGCTCCATTGTTATTAATGTTAATAAGAACATTGTTAAATGTTATTGCTATTGCTATTTTTTCAGTAATTACAGGCAAATAAAAAGACAGGTTCCACCATCTGAACAGTTTATATCTAATAAAAAAAATAACCTTTTTTGGACTTTAGACTTTTAATACCTTAAAAATCTTAACTTTTTTCTAATTTTTCACTATTTTCAGACACTTTATAGACCAATGAATAAATGAAATGATCCAAAAATAAAACAAGAAATATTATTTTTGTTGCTAATTTATGTCACATATTTAATATATATGTAATTTCTTGTGTTTTATGTAATGTGTTTTCCTTCTATGGATCATGATTATGCAATAAAGACTAACTGACTGTAAGGTCGGAGCTGGATGTCAAGCAGTCTCTTGTTTATAAATTTATTTTAAGCTGAATCTGTGTTCCATTCACTCAACCGTGTAACACATTTTTGTTTAACAAATGGCCAGAAATGAGATTACAAAAGCACAGACTACTGTTAATTTGTGCATTTATTTCATTTTCAGACATTTTATAGACCAATCAACCAGGTAAATAATCAACAAAAAAGAAATTAAGAATTATTCCTAAACTCCAATATCCTATTTTAAAACTAACTTAACATTGGATTTTAGTCTGACTTTGTAAGATTTTTTCCACAGAGAAATGACGCAAAACTGTTTTTTTTAATACATTTTAAACAAACTAATTATGTTCTTCAGCTAACAAGCACATTGCTTCAAAGATCCCTGTGGTTTTTCCCACCCTTTTTGAAGAACGAATAACTGCTTTTATGTTCTTTGTCACTCATGGATAGTGTTTTGATAACAACTTCTATCTACAAAGCCTTTTATTGTATTTTAAGATCATGTCTCTGTCTGGTTTGTGTGTCACTTGGGAGCAATGTGTTAGAGGTTTGATTTAGATCAAGTGGTTGGTAGTGTGTTGTTTCTGGGAGAGGATGTGGGGAACTCACTGAGGTTTTCTGTGGGTCTTCACCGGGAGAGGTGAGGTCTCCCTCTTGCTCGCCATATTCCTCCTCCTGTGATGCCGTCGGACATGCCTCAAAGTCTGTGTGCCCTAGATCCTGCAGATACTGGAAAAGAGGAGAATTCTGCAAAGAGAGAAAGAAAGAGACCGGTTAAGGAGGAGGGGGGGAAATTGCATAAAACAGAGCCGGACGGATGAAGACTGGGAGAAGGAGAGGAAATGTGATGATTAGATTAATCAACTGGATTCAGGGTGAGCTGACATTCATCCCGATTTTTGTCCCAGTTTGTCTTGCCGTGAATAAAAAGACGAGGGAAAGGCAGAGACTTTCCCTCAGCTGAGTCGCCACCCTCTCTCCCATGCACCTTACTTCTCTACTCTGGGAGGATGTGAATCTGGAAATCATCTCACACTCACACAGATGTCAGCAGGCACCTAGTTCTTCTCTCCTCAAGTCTAAGCACAAGGTGTCATGTTATAATCCTTTCCTGTCAGAGAGGTATAAACAGAGGTATTGCTGCCTGCTTTAAGAAAGCTCAGAAGCAAATCAGCCATGCAGAAAGCAGAAAAATATCCCCCTGCTAAAATTTGCCCAAACGATGTCTGACCCAGTTCTCCTCCCCAGCTGCTCCTCTGCTGCAGCTCTGATAAGCCAACATAAAAACGCATAAAGCACCAGCCTGGGCAGACGGTTAAACAAATATTAACTGCCACTCACATGCATGGTCACACGAAGTCGCAGCTCACGTTGTCATCATCCTGGATGCAGAGGTGTGTGTGTGTCATTTTTCAGAACCGACGCATTGGACGTGGTCATCCCCACCCCACCTCTTAGTAGTGATGAAACACCAACAAACAATGCGCACAACTAGCCCTGCTCAGCCCCTTCTCGTGACCACCAAAGCTCCTTGGCAGGAACACGGTTAAGCAGCCAGCCAAATATGTGGAAATGCTTAGGATTGGCAGTGCATGGCAACGGGGCAAACGGCAGGACTGAAAGCTAGCTCGGCTAGCTAATGAACTGGGCTCGTAGCTCCTATATTTAGTCCAGAACTCGAGCGGTATGACAAAGCATCGGTTGCAAGTTTTGCTAACAAACAGGGGTGGTAATACGTACCTCAAACACCACATCTTCATCAAACTCCTCAGTCATTGCTCTCCGCCATCAACACGCAGCCCGTTTAGCATTCTGAAGTTGTAGGCAACAGTAATCAGGGTAGGAGCAGCGGCTGAGAAGTTAGTTGTTAGCCGGTTGCTAAAGCTCGCCTACAACTTCCATAATGCCTCTGTGTCTTCCAAACGCCGAAAACGAACGTTCGGCTCGATACGCTTTAGAGAGCCTCAGGTGGTCACGAGCGGTAGTGTGGTTTCCCATCCGTTAATGCAAGGGGGGCACAGGAGAGTGACGTTTTCGAAAATTAGCGCGCAAAAAAACGGAAGTTATCTTCAAAATAAAATGCTTCATGTTTTTAACACTGTAGAGTGCTAAGATTTTAAGTAAAACAACTGTAATTGCGATATATTTTAATGAACTCGTATGTTTGAAGACAATGTTATAACATACACGCTTTACTTCACAATTTAATTTTCTATACGTCTTCTTTGAAATGTAATGTATTTTGTAAACTAGGACCGGAAATCTGTTGTTTGCTATGTCCAATTTTAGATTTACACAGTTGGAGGAAAAGCACCGTGGCTGAAAACTTGGAAAAATGGGGAAAGTAGCAGGCGTTAAGACTTTATCCGCGCATCCGCTGGCGAGATAAGGAACCACAGAGATGTATCTGCATGTTTCACCCACGGAGCGGATTTCACGCTGACAATAATGTCGAAGGAGGAAAAAACGCAGATTTCCTCGCAATTCCATTGAAAGTAACTTTACTCATGGAGAGAGGAGCAAGTCAGGAGTCATGAGCACAGGTTTGTGTCGTGGGGGAGCTGAAAAAATCTGCTTTGCAAGCGTATTTTGTGGCAATAAAAGTATATGTAACGTCCTTTAGTTTTATTCGGGATACTTTTTCAGAAAGAAATGGTCAATTTCCACGCTGTAGCTGTCGGTAGCACCACTCTATTTTTATCCAGCCAGAGTTAATTACAGTTTTTCTTAATAACAGCTTCCAAAAAGACATAAAAGTGAACTGTTCCGACCTCAGTTTGAGTGCTTTGTAAAAACTCAGTGAAAAACAGCAGTTTCTTTTTGTTATCTAAACCTCTGTTGCAGCTGGAGGGGGTTAAATCCTTTGTCTCAAAACATCTGTCCTGCTGTTCCTGAAACATGTCGGACTTAATATCAAGCTGCAGCCCAAACCTTTCACGAAAACCAGCAAACATGTCTCTGGATGAAAGTCTTTTCATTTTATTAGGGGGTCATCCTTTTTAAACGTTTTAATAAATATGCCCGGCGTTGTCTTATAGAACTAAACATAACACCAGATTCCGTTTTAAAACATGCGAATTTAAAGTTGCTTCTTTAATAAATATGGTTGTGTGTCTTCCAGAGTGTAGTTTATGACTTTCCATGCTGTTGTTGCATACGCTGACAGATTCGGCTCATAGATAAAACAGAAAGAAACAATAAAATTAAAAGTTGTGTATCCACACTCTTCTCACCAACGCCGTCCTCCATCGTGGGGTTTTTCTTAAGTTTGGGTGAAGCATTTCGCAAAGTGTACGCTTACTAACATGAAGTGTGCGCCGAATTGAATGGTGATTCTCGGTGAAAAGAAAAAAATTCAATCACTATTTATTACTAGTTATTACTGGTTACAGTCACAGCGAATTACTGTTTTGCAATGTTTTTGAAGGGAATTTGGTTGGAGTCAGGCTTTCAGCTGCAACCGGAGAGCGGTTTTCGATCGTTGGCCTTTTCCGAAACATCCGCTCGATGACTCGACTTCTCGTGGTGTCGGCCAGCCAACAGTTTGAACCAATAGAGTGGAAAATATAGCCTACAATCCTAAACCAGAGTTGTTGTTTTTTTAAATTAACGAATATACTCTTTTTTTTTTTCTATTTTAACCTTTATTTAATCAGATTATTTCCTAATAGGATTAGGAATGCTAAGCAAGGATTTTTTTTTTTCAGGAATACAAACTGTCAGGAAGAAGAGTAGGAAATGCTCTTGAGTACACAGGTCTATCGACAAATAAGAATAAGCTGTGACTTATTTAAGGACAAATTGGACCAAGAAGAGATAATGCAGTAAACGCCAAGGTTATTATAGAGAACTGATACAACATTAAACAACAACACTGAACATTTTCAAACAGAAAGATAAACTGAACTGATAGAGAAATAAATAAAAGATTTCAGAATTATCAGAAAATGCAAACTATGAAAAGAAATCTGGTCCAGCCATACCAAATGTGTCAGAAATGAAGCATGTTTGAATCAAATAATCTAGATTTGCTGCCACCTTCAAACATTAGATACATCAGTTCACACTCATGAGTAAATACGAGTTATAACGGGGAAGATGGTGCAAAAATAGTTGAAAATTACTCATTTACTATCTTCGCCCTGTCAGTGACCTTGTGACCTGAGCTTGCCTGTGCTTACATTAGAGGAGGCATGGCTTTTGTGTCTGACACGCCCTCTCTTTCTAACACACAGGTGTAAAGAAGCCTCCATTAGCTCCCAAACCTAAACTCCCCGTCACTACCAAACCTTCACCCCCACCCGTCGCTCCCAAACCGGGACTCATTTGTCAGCCTTTGGCGGCCTCCCAGCCCTCCCCTTCCACTCTGAAGAGGGCAAAACCGGCTGTTGCCCCCAAACCATGCATCCCCAAATACTCTGTTGCCTCTTCTCCCCCGGTTTCACCCCCGCCGCCACCCAAGCCTGCTGAACTGCTTATTCCATCTCAGGAACAGCAGGAGGCTTTTGATGATGGCCTCAATCTTCTCAACTCCAAAAACGGGATATTATCTGAGGCTACCAGACGTGAATCGGATTACATCATTCCCACCTGCTCCTGTGGGCTCCGGGACTGTGCACAGTGTCAGCCCCTGGAAAATGGGAGCACATCTGAGGCTGGGGGACATTCACACAAAGAGCTGTTAGAAAATGGCGTTTCCAAAGAGGGGTTCGTGGGGTCAAAGCCACGAAAGGGTGGAGAAAATCAAGAGGAAGATAAGGGTGAAAGTGTGCAGATTAGCAAAAAGCCCAGGGGTAAACCTCAGAGACAGAAACACCTTGATAGGGGACCGGTAAGCAAGGAGGTACAGAGGACTAAGGAGCAGGAAGTAACTTTAAAAAATCAGGAAAGCCCTGCTGCTGAGCTCGATGTCTCTAAAGTATCGACGGAGGCCCAAAACACACACTTGAAGTCAGCCTGTGATGTCATAGGTGGCATCATTGTCTTCTCAAGCATCTCTCCTCTTGAATCGCCTACAGAGTACTCTGAAAGCAGCAACACTGTCAGCAGAGTGTCTCCTACCCGGTCACACCCTGATCTGCAGGTCCCCGCTGCTCCTAGCAAGCCTCTCCCAGTCCCTCAGCCTCGTAAACTTAAAAAGCCGGTCTTGGTGAGGCAGGATGGTCTGGAGGGTGGTGCTCAGGAGCAGTTTGTGGAGGAGCAGAAACAAAGGACTGAGATGAAGGAAGCTGAGGGGAAACTAGCTGCTCTGTCTCTCAGTACAGAGAGCGAGGAGCTCAAACCGGACGCGTGTGATGACAGTTCACCCCCAAAAGACTCAGGTTTAGGAGACGATGAGGCTGACGCGCCTGTCCCGCCTCCTCGGCAAACCTCTCTGTCACCTCATCTCCACAGGTCAGTCCGCATAAACCCCAATCTTAACAAAAACAACTCCCACTCCTTAGACCTTCTCTCACAGCCCGACTCTGTGAGCCACAGTAAAGAGGGCGAGGCGCGCCGGGCCGAGGAAGATGAGGAGGATGGGTACGGCGACTTTGAGCGGTACCCCATCAGTCATAGCCTCCCTAAACAGATCAAACTCAGCTGTCACCCTCCTCTGGCGAACGACAGGAAAGCCTTCTCCGCTGAGGAGGAACAGTCGCCGAGGGCACCACCAAGAAAACCGCAGAGACACAGCCTGCCCGCACCTCCTCCACCCTCCATCTGCCCTCCTGCACCTCCACATGCTAACACCCCAATGAGGGAGCTGCCCGCTCCTCCTCAGGAGAAAACAAGCTGGCGCTTCTCGCGACCCTACGTGACCTTCTTCAGCCGACAGATCCCCACCAGGAGCAGCGTGCCGCCTAAGAGTCGAGCCCCGGTGCTGGGGGGCAAGCAGAGGGCGCAGTCTTTCTCTGCAGCTGACCTGGCAACCCGGGCCAACTCTCCAAAGAGGAGCCTCTCTTTCCGGAAGCTGCTGGAACTCCGGCTGTCAGTGAAGATGCTGCCAAAGCTGCTTGCCAAGGGAGGGCAGTCCCTGGACTGCACCAGCGTCGAGTCAAACCGGGGGAAGAGGAGCCTGGAGAGGCCCAGTAGCTGCGGAGGGGAGGCTGATATTTGCGGAGAAGGCATAGAAGGCTCGGTGGAGTATGAGAACGTCCCGCTCTATGAGGAAATCCCGGAATACATGAATCTGCCGTTTCACAGTGCCAGGCTGGGCTGGCCTCATGACCCAGATGCAGCTGATGCAGACATCTACGAGGTGCAGGATCCATACCACAGATGTCAGGAACATGAGTATGAGAGGTATGCTGCTTTATTAATCAAATTTTTCTCAGCTATTTGACGTTCCAGTTGATAGAAGCAGTTTAAGAGAGAGTCAAAAAGGTGGAGGGAGAAGGAGTCGGGGTGGTGACACAGTTGTTTTTCTGTTTAACTCTTTATCTCTTGTATACTGATTTTGTTGATAGCCAATCACTGCTGCCAATCTCAGTCTGCATGCTCTTTCAAAAGATATTTTAAATCTCAAGAATCAGATTTTCCTGGTTGACTGGAGTTTAGGGATCAAACCCAAGCCACTGCAGAGGACTCGGACTCAGTACACACTCTAACAAGTGAGCCTCATGACCGTTTATTTCTGATTCTGGTCATTTGGGGGATTTATTTTAGAAGGATTATAGTAGGCTCATCCTCAGCAGTTTAGCTCTTCTAGCCCTCAGGAGGGCTGGTTAAGATCCTAAAACACGGAGGAAGAAAAGCTACTAATTTATCTTGTTATTCCTAATATCTTCGCTGTATATATTCAGATGACAAAAACGTGGTTGTTTATAAATGATTAACAACAGAATGATATATACATACATATAGGGTTAGGGTTAAGTTAATTATTAACCAATGAAATCAGTACATGTATTGATTTCTTTGGTCAGTAATGTAAGGTCTCCAATTGTAATACAAACTGTGTACTCCTGGATTCATATCTTTGCTTTCAATTTAAATTTACCTGCAGGCTGACGGCAGCACTTTGACACATTTAAACTCAGAGTGCTGCCATCACAGTATTTTGTTTATATTTTTAAAAACTATCTATTTGTATTTTTACTCAATACAGGAATGGTTAACAACACCCACAAAACATTTTTTAAAAAACAGAATTTTCCATAAAATGTAGCAGCTCTGTTATGCTTTATGACTGTGACATTTCTTTACTCCTAATTCTTCATCCTGTATTTAGCGGTGACTTGTACAAAAATCATGTTGTGGATACAGATTTTGGTGAAGTTACATACATGACATGTGAAATAAATGCAACCAGAGAACATAACATCTCATTCGTACTAGGATAGTGAAATTAACATAACATAGAGGAAAATCAGAAGAATTGGGATTTAATATAAATCTTTTTTTAAAACCGTAGAGATGCTAATAATCGCTGTGTGTGTGTGATGATGCTTGTGAAAAGTTTCATTCACTTTCAGGACCTCCCCAAGGACATGCCCACATGTTTTAGGTCATGAACCTAAAAAATGTATAAATCTATTTACAGCTTTATAAAAACTTTATCAAGTCTTATCATGTTTGGAAAATGATTTAGTTGTAATTGTACAAAAAGCGTACAAAAAATGGTTACACGGTTATATAAGATCAAATGTACATTATTGATGGGATATCAATATTTAATTGGAAAATATCGGTGCTGTCAGTGTTAATCTCGTTAAAATGACATTAACGCCATAACCGCATTAACGCGGCAAATCTCCATTAGCGAGTTAACGTGGATCGCCCCGTGCGTTAACGCGGCAACGCGTTAGCGCCATGCAGCTCATCACATGCAGAAGTATGTGGTCTCAGACTAAAATTCTTATTAGTTTTTGTTTAACTGTGAAATATTAGGTTCATAATCACATTCAATAGAAAAGCAGAAAGTTCTAAGTATTTATCTCTATTGATTAAAATAATTTTTTAATCCTCTTTTTGTCTGTTAGCTCTTTTTTCCTCTCTTTCATCATCTTTCTGAAGTGATACTGCAGAGAAAAGATGTTTTATAGTGTGAGATAAGAAGGGCATCTTTATACCAGGAACAATGACATGCTTTTCTTTGTCCATGTGGGAAAAAAGGACCTGCAAATTGATGCAGGCCGAGCTTTTATTACTGTCCTGGTATACCAGGTGAGCCACGGCTTCATTGCATGAACCGCCAGTGTGCAACAGGTTGGACAGGTGAAATGAGCGATTTGTGTTCAAGAGCATGTGAAAGTCAGCCTTTGAGGCAGTCAGACATTGAATTTGAATAGAGCATTGATGTGCAGCAGGTCAGGCTGTTTTCCTGTGGGTTATTTTCAGTGGCCAGGGCAGGAAATGTCTGAGAATCGCAGAAACGCCACACAGCTCTCTAGAACAGGGAAAATAAACCTCTAGCAACCACCAGCCTCCTTTCTCCTCCTCTGCCTGCCCGCCCTCGCACCATGTTTAGCCTCTTCTTAACCTCATCACTCCATTTTTCTCCTTTGCTTGGCTGAGATTGTTCTCATGCTGAGTACATGCTAAATAATTTCACACTCGTGGAAAAGCAGAGTTTGCAAAAAGAGCCACATAAGAGATGTTTTAAAGAGAAGTATTTATGTAATAAGAAGTATAAAAAAATGAAAAAGGTAGACAAATATGGGACATGATTTATTGTGGGAAGATTAACAGCTAGGGACTAAATTATGACAAAATGCCCTCGAGCAAGTTTGCAGTTTGGACAAAACTTTACATGCACTCAGCATGGGTGTAAATGTCATGGTAATTTGGGCTTTTAGTTATTTATTTGAACTATTCTTTTACCACAGTGGAATGTTTGTACAGTAAGCATCTTTAATGAATTTAAAAAACAAAAATTAGGTGCACAAGTTTGAATTTAATTTCGATTTTCTCTAATCAGCTTTTGGCATAATTCTGGTTGGATATTTCGCCACTCGTCTTGGTAAATTTGGTAGAGTTTGTTTAAGATGGTTGGTTTCTTGGCACAAACCTGGCTTTTAAAGATATGCAAAACATTTTCAGTAGTGTTGAGGTTAAGGCTTTGGGAAAGCCATTACAGAAGCGTAATGTCAGCTTGCTTTATCCATTCTGAAACCAGTTCCTTTGTTTGTGGGATTGGTGTCCAGGTTTCCATTGTCTGGCTGTTGTGAACTTAAATAATTTGGAAGTAGTCCTCCTTCTCCATAATTCCATCCAGTGGTGTTTTGCTGTCAGTACCACTGACAGCAAAACGCCGCCACCATGCTTGACAGCTGGTAAAGTGTTCTTAGGTTTGAAACACTCACCTTAACTCATCCATACTTTTTGGCATTGTGGCCAATTAGCTTAATCCTTGTCACGTCTAACCATAAAACTTTTTCCAGAAGGCACTTGGCTTGTCTCTGTGGCCAGTTTCACATTTTAGTCAAGCTGAAGTTGTCGATTTTGGAGCAGGAGCTTTTTTCCCAGTCTTTACCCTCTTAGTCCATGTAAAACTGGCTTCACTGTGGACAGTGACTCTCGTGTTCTATTAGATATCAGTTTACGGTAGGCTAGAAGATGGTTCCTGGGTTGTTTCTGAACATCCCAATGAATTGCTTCTCATCTGAGGATGACAGTTTGGGTCTTCTTCCAGACCTCAGCAAAGTGTGGACACATCTGAATGACTTGTCAACTTATTCTATTAGAACAATTAGAGCATGCTGTAGGTATTACAGGTACTGCGCTGCAGTGGTTTGTATCATAGCTATCTAATAGACTACAATTTGTTCATGTAAATGGAGAGTCTTCTTCACACACTAAGGTTAATTATGGAGTTCCACAGGGTTCAGTGCTAGGACCAGTTCTGTTTACATTATACATGCTTCCCTTAGGCTGTATCATCAGAAGGCATAGCATACATTTTCACTGCTATGCAGATGACACCCAACTCTATCTATCCATGAAGCCAGATAACACACACCAATTAGTTAAACTGCAGGAATGTCTTAAAGACATAAGGATGGCCTCTAATTTTCTGCTTTTAAATTCAGATAAAACTGAGGTTATTGTACTTAGAAATATGGTATCTAACCAGATTCTTACTCTGAATAGCATTACCTTGGCCTCCAGTAACACTGTGAGGAACACTGGAGTCATTTTTGACCAGGATATGTCCTTCAATGGACATATTAAACAAATATGTAAGACTGCTTTCTTCTCCTGTCTCAGAGTGATGCTGAAAAACTAGTTCATGCATTTATTACTTCTAGGCTGGACTACTGTAATTCATTATTATCAGGATGTCCTAAAAACTCCCTGAAAAGCCTTCAGTTAGCTCAAACTGCTGCTTGCTGCAGCAAGAGTACTGACTAAATAATCAGGCCCATCTTATCTTAATGACCTTGTAGTACCATATCACCCCATTAGAGCACTTCGCTCCCACACTGCAGGCTTACTTGTTGTTCCTAGAGTATTTAAAAGTAAAATGGGAGGGAGAGTCTTCAGTTTTCAGGCCGCACTTCTATGTAACCAGCTTCCAGTTTGGATTCGAGAGACAGACACAATCTCGACTTTCAAGATTAGGCTTAAGTTTCCTTTTTGCTAAAGCATATAGTTAGGGCTGGATCAGGTGACCCTGAATCCTCCCTTATGCTGCAAAAGGCATAGGCTGCTGGGGGATTCCAATGATGCATTGAGTGTTTCTTCTTCAGTCACCTTTCTTAGTCATTATGTGTTAAGAAACCTCTCTGCATTCAATCATACTTGTTATTAATCTCTGGCTCTCTTTCACAGCATGTCTTTCATCCTGTCTTCCTTCTCTTTCCCCAACCATCCCTGAGCCTGGTTCTGCTGGAGGTTTCTTCCTGTTAAAAAGTAGTTTTTCCTTCCCACTGTCGCCAAAGTGCTTGCTCATAGAGGGACGTGTGATCGTTAGGTTTTTCTCTGTATGTTTTACTGTAGGGTCTACCTTAAAATATAAACCGCCTTGAGGCGACTGTTGTTGCGATTTGGCACTGTATAAATAAAATTGAATTAAATTGAACTTGTACTTAAATACTGTTGTTTAAACTGACGATCTCAAAATCTGCAGTTGCTTAGAAATGGCTCGAAGAGACTTTTCTAGCTTGTGTAAATCTAGTTCTTCTTATGTTTTCACTGATTTCTTTGGACTTTCAATGAGCTCACTGGTCAATCCAACGAGTGCCACAAAGAGAAACTACCAGTTGTAGTCTGTCATGATCACTAACAAGAAGTTGATAGGCCTTGGGCTTGTTAAGTTAACGTCATTAACATAACACTCATAACATAAAAGATGAACATGAAAACCAGTGTTTCCCATTCATTGTCTATGAAAGCAGCTGTGCAGTGCATTCCTGTGGGGTTGCGCTGCATTTTGAATGATGCAAGGTTAAATTTTCCCAGGAAGGAAAAATCAGGATGAGCTGATTGTGATCTGTGAATAAATTGTGCTAATTGGTAAAATGCTCAACAATCTAGCTAGACATATATTTAAAAAAAAAAAACATAAAACAGGGGTCCCAGAATTGAGCCCTGTGGGACACCACAGGACAAAGTAATTAGAGTCTCCAACAGAGGCAATGAGCCTTTTATCTAAGCCCTTTATCCAGGCCTTGTGCCTGTTTCCTCTGTTCATACAGGTGATCATGTCAGGACACCTTAGCTAACGCTGAGGTAAACTGTTGTGAAAGTGGTCTTCTAAACAATTAAGATGTGCTCTGCGTCTTAATTCTGTCTGGTATGCAGAGCAGTCTGCCGGGTGTTTGTGTGTCAGAGAGGAAAAAAGAGGGAGCAAGTGAATCTGTAGTGTTTCCCAGGCATCCAAGCCTGTTAAGTTTATGTAAGTAGCCCCGGGCTGTAAACAAGTGGCGCTCTGTGCCTGACCCAGTATTCTGGAGCGCTCGACTACAGAGAAAGCATAAGGGAGAGAAAAGCAGACAAAGAAGGAGGTAGAGTCAGTGGGAATTGAAATTTAGGTAACAGAGACACATAGGAAAAGCAAGGAAGTGGGCAGAGTGGACTATTCGTGGTGGGAGTGAAGGGAGATACCCATTTATTTCCATACCCCACACCCCAACGTCCACAAGACTCTGCACAAAGATTAGGATAGGAACTGACAGCAGGACACAGAGGATGAGACAAAATCAGGGCGCTTTAAATCCTTCTGTTCTGAAGTCTCAGACAGGTTAATTCTACAGAAGAGACTGCGAGAGCAAGATCAAAACATTAGCAGCACAAACACATGTTGCTGCTTGTGCCTGGCACACAGCGCTGTTTGTGGGAAGACCCGAGCCAGCATGTTGTTTCATTGATGGCCGTAGGGCTGATAAAAGTGCAATGAGGAGAAAGACAGGTCTCAAAAGTATAATCACTTTTCAAATGCACATTATGTACAGCTGGGTGTTATAGAGGTAGGTCCGGGCAATTAATCAGCTCTAGTTTTGGCCAAAATGACTAAAAGGGAGTCTTAAGATAAAGTAAAATCTCAAGGTTTTGTAGTTGAAATCATGGAACAAGTATTACTCAGTTCTTTTTATCAGAGGACTGCTCAGGGAATCACCAGATTCTCCACGATACAATATTATCAAAGTACCTCACTCATAATAATATTATTTCAATCTTCAACATTTTGCAGAGTGGAGTATTCCAATAATGTATCTTGTGATTTATCACCTTTTTCTAACTGAAAGTTATGTCCTCAAACTTGGTCACTATCTGTTTTATCCAATAAGATAAAGATTCTGTGAGTTTGTCAATTATACCAATACTGTCACTAAAACCTGCTATATGAAGGAGTCAGTCTGCAATTGAATATGGTCAAGTTGGTAATTACATGCAATCTTTTTCTGATAATACAGCAATTAATTGTGATAAACCATTAAAAATCACACATTTCTTGCTGTGTACATAGCCAGAAATTCACATTTAACTATTACATTTATACTCAGTAACCTTCTTGTTCAATAGGCTAATTGTAGTCGTTTGAAGTCATTTTGCAACTGTTTGCAGAAGGGTTCCCTCTAATCAGGTGACCTGTACAATTGTGAGTGTGCAACACGGTCAAAGCTCTGGGCAACCATTTAATCACTACAGGTTGCAATCAGTTGCAGAATGTAAAAAAATTCACTACAATCACCAGGTAGCCACTGTTTTTTTTGTAGATGCGAGGAGGTTGCTGTCCAATTTATGTTTGCTCTGATTCAGGAGGTGGCTTTCTCAAAAAGCGTTTCCAGTTATGTATGTTTTTGTGGCTCAGGGTTATCTCAGGATGGTGGTGCAGGAGATTGGCTCTATGTTCATAGTATTCCCAGAGGATTTTCATTTTTTAATAAAATATTCAGATTTGGTGTCCATGTATCGATAAAATATCACAATACTATGCTGTATCGACTATGAACTAGTCTGATTTTGGGATTGTGCAACAGTTGGCTGTCAGCTTTGTTTCTCTGTTGCTTGCAGACGAGCGTTTGCCTGTGCAAGATTGGATTTGCATAAAAAAATTCCTAGTAAGGGGCGTAAAACCCCTTACTATATGACCATGTGTCTCCCACCACCTGCTCCACCTTTTTTTTTCATTTGAATTACATTTAAAGTCTAAGAAAGTCAACTGAAAAAGCCTCCAATTTTTACCAGCAATGCATATTTTTGGTAAATAATCAGTTAAAAAAACACTAGTCACTCACATAGCTCCCAGTGGTTTGGTCCATTGCCCATGTGTGTGGCTGTCTTATTTACTTCTCCCATACAGTAATATCACACTTGTTGTAATGAGACAATATTTCATTAGCTCTGTTATCCTTGTTACCAAATCTTATGCGCCAGTGCAGCCACATCTTACAACACATGGAGGCAGATTTGTGCAGTTTTCCAAGAGCTGTTGAGTTCTCTAAAGGAAGAACTCAACCAGCTCTTTCACTGGATATAAGGAAAGGAGCTTCAGTGCTTCCTTTATTACCTCCTTATCAGAGGATACACTGGGCCTTTCTTTATGATGCTGAATATTTGTGCATCCAAACAACCAACATAGCAAACAAGTGGCACTGATGATTGTTAAAACTACTGATGCATTTTTATACCATAATCTGTTAATATGCAAATATGGAAAAATTATGCAGTTGTTGTCTTATATTAAGTGATCTGTAAATAAAATAAATTAACAGTATTAAAATGATCAAAGTGCAGTGGGGTTTATTGTGGTGTATTAGTGTGTCTGTGAAGTTCTTTGACCTGGAGCAGACCTCCAGACCTAGTAGTTGGTTGTTTTATTCTTTTTTTTTTGTGGACACCTTTTTTGGTGTCCCCTCATTGAGCTCCGGGGATTTTCAATTCCTACCTAACTGCTGTCTGCATGACTACCCAAAATATTGCCTAATTGTATTCATCAATATTTTAAGTTATACCAAACCTCTGAAGAAGTGTCGTTCTTGACTCACATACTTCTATGAGTAAATATGTGTGTTAAATTTGTCTAGGCCCCCTTATTGCACAAGGCTTCCTTAATCTTTATTTATCCAAGGAGGGTTTTTCTGAACTCACACACCACTCTATAGCCCTGCCCTGCTTCCCTTTCACAGATTTAAACATTCCCTGTTAAGAAAGGCTAAATTAATCTCTGTCTGTCTGTGTTTGGGCGAACAGCGGCTGCCTCATCCAGGACGTCCACTCTGAGGAGGAGGAGATCCACAGCTCAGATGACGAGGACAACAGCTCCACCTCTAGCAAGGAGCACTTGGACGAGGCAGACAGACAGGTACTATAATGAAACTCCGTCTGTAACATCAGGGGAATTCAGCCAATAAAATGACTCAATGTGAGCAATAAAGTAATTAGGGTTGAATTTAAACTGAAACTTCTCCCAGTACCTGATGACTGATCATTTCCATGCATGTTACTCTGATACCACAATCCATAAACATTTATTATATTTACTTACTTACTCATGCCTCATGGTTTCACGAGTGTAATTATTATAATGAACATCCAGTCAAACATCTTGGTTCTCAAATTCTTCCAGCAGAGTGTCTTTGCAGCTACGAAAGGCTCTAAACACTTATTTTCAGCCATTTTTTTTCTTTCTCTTGCTTCTGTATGACGTTAAAGAGAGTGGATATGCCTAATCTGGTCATATTTATGAGGGGTAGCCAATCAGAAGAAATGTGGGGTAAAGGGGGAGGGGCTGAAAAGCTTGTTTCAGAACTTAAGAACTGTGTCACAGCTCAGTAATAGAGAAAGGAGGATGATTTTAAAATATTAGTCATGCAAAGCTACTGTAGTAGATTCCAGGAAATGAAATATAGTAATAAATATAATACATAAATTAATGTTAACATAAAGTTCACCTTTAAAAAACTATAAAGAATAATATATATTCTTTATATTATAATAATATATAATAATTTCTGTGTTGAAATCTCCAACGAAATCCAAGAAAGAAATATGGAGTTTGAAAGTAGTGTAAGAGGTCCCATTTTAATGTCTTCAAACTATAGCTTGGTTATGTCGAAATCATAATATTGAGATCAGGATTAATCATTAACTCAAAGATTAATCATTTTTTTAATCTGTTGACCCAAATGAATAAACGAATATGAATGTGATAGGAAAACACAATGGTCCACTCAGGAGTTAAGTATAGGTTAAAGCCTCGTTTATACTTTCGCCTCCGAGTAACATAAATGTCATCATTAGAGGGTGAGCGTCTGTGTGCCTGCTTGTTTTCATGACCACGTAGACTCGTCTGGAGAACTTACATTACAGTGCACCAGCTATGACTGCACCCCAGGAGGAGGACTTGGAGTAGATTTTCAGGGAAGTATAACAGGAATCATTACTCAGCTGGTGGTCTCTAGCTAACCATGTGTATAATGAAATATAATGAATGCAGTCCTAATGCAGTTAGAAAAATGTCTGATTCAAGTGGATGATTTCCTTGTTTACTTTCAATCAAACATTGACATGTGACTCCTTGTTATTCAAGGAGAGGGTGAAGCTACCGTGACTTATAGACTATATATAAAAGATGTGACTGCACAAAATCACCTATTAGTACTTTAAAGTGGACATGAGTCACTATATGTATTGAGAAACAAAAAAAACATCTTCACGTTACAAAAAAAATACAATCCACAATCTGCACTGTAACTTGGAGATTATTTTCTCCTTCACTTACAGTTGGGCCTCATTTTTCCTCAATTCTATTAGGACTTTATCTACTTAGTGAGATAATGTTTCCAACAAGTGTGGCATCTCTTCCTCGGAGGGTTTGGTTTTTTGTTTTTTGTTTTTTGTTGTTTTTTTTTGGGGGGGGGGGTTCCTACGTTGAATACATCAGTCTGTTTTCCCTGTGGACATCATGATGGATATCAAGATTCCCGATCGTGCTTCGCTAAGAAACTGTTTGCTCTGTGATGCGCATGTTGTAAACTGTTAGGTTGTAAACTGTTTGGATGTGCTTTGGAGGAGATAGACCATTTTATGCATAAAATAATGCTGATCTCTTCCGTGGACATCTGCTGATCGCACCGCTTGGTCTGTCCACAGAGGTCCACAGTCTTGACTTCAGCTTGTTGCTTTGGTCAATCAGACGACCCCCCCCCCTTCCCTCTATGAGCAAACACCTGGCAACAGTAGGAAGGAAAAACTCTCTTTTAACAGTAGGAAACCTCCAGCAGAACCAGGCTCAGGCAGGGGCTGGCATCTGCCAAAACCAGTTGGGAGTGAGGGGAGAAAGACAGGACAGAGTCCTCATTCATAAAGTGCTTTACAAAAGTGAACATTAAGAGTAACAGGTGGATTTTTCTGTTTCAGTGCAGCTAGCCAAAAAAAAAAACCCTTATTGCTAAAAAGACAGAGAGTGGCAGTGGACAGTATATGCTTCTTATTACCATAAAAGTCATTGTTGCATAAAATGACTTTTATGTTAATTTTATGGCAGCAAAAAAGTGGCCGCCTCAGACTGCTTTTTAGCTTTATTGTTGTGGTTTTCTACTGTGTTACCAGTTCTGTTATTAGTTAGCTAGCATAAACTATAAGCTATAAACAGTAATTTAGAGCAAGGCTCCATGGTGAAAATTAGCCTTTATACATGTAGTGCTTCATGTCCACTTGAACGATTTGGTGTTCGCCCAACATCACGAGTCAGGGGTGAGTCTCAGAGGGGACATGCTCATTCAAAAGCTACTTCTACTAATTCCTCTTTAGACCTAGAGGCTCCATCCCTCTTTTATATACAGTCTGTGGTCCGAGCCACAATAGTCACATTAACGGGGACTATCACCCATAGCAAGATTACTAAGACTCCACTATTTGTAGTTTTTAGACACTTGAAGAGGTTAAAACAAGAAAAACAGAGAAATGTTATTGTTAGTCTCATTCCCAACCACACTAATTGGAAACCATAGTCTTAAAGTGGCTGTTTTTATTCACACTTAGTGGAAAGTGCTACAGAATTATTACAAGGGCTGAAGTGAGCATATTTCCAGGGAAACATCTATGGAAAAACATCTCCAAGCGCTCTTAAAATATGATGTCAGCATGTGAAGCTGGCAGATCATTTACAGGTCACAACGGACGACTCGTATCTCTCCCGGTGACTCAACTGTCACCGCAGCAGCTGGAGGCTATGTGCTCACATGCATCCTGCCGAGTGTGTTTGTTGCCTTTAAAAGCTTCCTTTAAAAAGAAGTGGGTGTGTTTGTGTGTTGAAAGTGGGGGATGTTGAGCAAACACAGAAGGGCTACAGGTTCAGGAATAGCTCCCTCAATGGCTGAAAGAGTCAATACTGTCAGCACCTGTGTCTGATGGCTCTCAGAGCGCCCGGGTATCACAAATACAGGCTCCGATAGGACCGGTCGGCCATTTCAGTCAAGCAGGGGCCAAGGCCAGCGTCCAAATTAAGTCAAAGAGAATCCACCCTCCCCCTTTCCCATTCAACAGCACACTGTTGGAGAGAGATGGGGAGAGGAGACAGGCAGAGAGGAGGGAAAGGTACCTGCTTTATGTTGTTTGAAAGAACCTTAATGGTCTTTAAACACCAGCACCGGTGATCATGGTGATTTGCAGCGAACCTGTGAGTTAACTTTAAACTGTTTTGGCGCCGGCGTCTCCCTGGCACCGTCCTGACCGTCTGTGTTTTGTCTTTTTTTGTGAAACTTTAGCAAGAGGACGAGATGAAGAGGAAGAAGGTGGTGCACATTGCCCAGGAGATCATGAGCTCGGAGAAAGTGTAAGTGCTTCAGTCATGAGGTAGCATCTGTACTGTAATCCGTGGCTGTCTAACGGACGTGTTTCTCTTTTTTATCAGGTTTGTGGATGTCCTGAAGCTTCTGCACATAGTAAGTGTCTTGTTCAGTCAAAACTTTTATTAAAGGAGGATTTCCATGACTTAATTTAGCAGCCAGAGCAAAGAGAGTGCCCAGCATAATAAGCAGCACTGTATATTTTGGTGCTGGCACTGTGCTGTAACTGTCTTGAGTGGTGATCAAAGCCTTTTCCCTAGGATGGATTTGAATTAATGGGCCCTTGACTGCAGTTGTCTTGCTCGAGTGCCCTGGCTGAGTTGATTAATGCAGTTACAATCTACAGCTGAGGCTTTTAAAGTTGCTGCAACGGAGTGTTTCTGGTTTTCTGGGGGGCCGTGGTGGGCAGATAAATGCATGGCCACAAGGTGGGGGAGGAGGTGCTTTGATCAGATCCATTACAGAGATGCACTGAGAGAAGAGTGTAGGCACAAGAAAAAGAATGAGCTGTGGGCTGTGGAGTTTGCCTGGTGGCTCATTTAGTCTGTTTGACATATTTTGGAGAGTTGGCCTGCAGACATTTGTGTGTGATGGCCCAGTGATTTTTTTTTTTTAAATTTTGCAATTAACTGCAGTTATGCTGCTAACAAATCTGCTGACCATTACTGATTTGAACTATAAAGTATCGATAGAAAGAGAAATCTTTCATGTGGAGGAGGATCATCACACATGATGAGTGTCAGATTTGATGTGGAGAGGAAGAAAAGGATGGAAACCTCAAGCTGAATATTCAACAAAAGACGAGCCTTTTTTTGTGGCTGATGAAAAGTTCAAAATGAAACACAAAAGTCCAACAAAATCCAAAGAAGATGAGACAAAAAGGCGTTTCAACAAAAGGAAGGCGGGATTATTTATACTAACAGGAAGGGAGTGAGAGGCAGGTGAAAGTAATTAACCAATGAGGGCGCAACAGATGGTCACAAAAGAGGAAGTAAAAGCAAAAACAAGACTTGAAAGAAAACCAACTACCTAAGTAAAACAGGAAGAGAACAATCAACCAAAAAAACAAATACTGAGTGAAAATGGAGACAATCAGGAACCGATGAGAAGGAAAACAAAGAGGAGAGTGACATTTAAAAAAATCCAAACAGAATCCAAAAACACAAACTACAAGAATCAAAACTTCAAAACAGCAGTGAAATCCGGAATTCGGTTTCTAGCTACAACCTGGGTTAGTCCTTACTGTACTGTACTGAAGATGGTGATTCAGCCCAGTAGTGCAGCCATCGTACTGCAACCTCTGGGGGCTTCTGAGGGACAACATCAGGCGCAAATAACCTCAACTGTGGTGCTTATCACTGTGCACCAGTGCACAGCTCATGGAAAACTAGCAGCCACACCAACACAATATTTGCTTTGCTCACCAGAGCTGGCTGCCTGCGACTCTGCCCTCTTCCTGGTGTTGTTGCCAGTGTATTACAACCCTGTTAAAAAAGAGAGTGAAGAACCAGGCAGATGTTATGACTTAATACAGATTTACCCACTCACCTCACACCAGTCCACTCATAGGCACTCATGAGGGCAGTAATAAAATGATTTATTACTGTGTTTGACCTTAGTTTGGCTCATTAAGTGTTGCTGATTAATTTTCTGTCAGCTGATTTATCGATTGTTCGACTTTCAGCTCAGACGTTTAGACAGAAAAGCTGTGCCTTTGTTTAAGTTTAGTCCAAGGACGGACTGCAGCAGGCATTGTTCCCAGGGGGAATCCCAGGTGAGCGGGTTCAGATGACCCACGCCGAGGGCCCACCTGTCTTTCCGCCTCAGACGTGGCTTTAGTGAAACTGCCGTGGGATTAGTAGAAAACACTGCCCTGTGGCTGACGGGGGAGGGCGAGGTGCAGACCTCTGTCCAAGAAAGGAGGTCAGATCGCATTCTTCCCTCTCCGCGGCCAGGCTGGGCGCGCAGCAGCTGCTTCCTCAGGCCACAGAGGCGACCTCCAGACACGCACATGCCTCAGATAATCCTCAGTGTGTGTGTGTGTGTGTGTGCAGGTAGGTGCGTGGGCTCATGAGTGTACTGCATATTTGTGGTATGTTCATCCAGTTGTTTAATTTTTTAATTCTTTTCTTTTTTGTTTCTCCACAGTCGACCTCTGTCTTTGTTTTAACTGCAGGTTGTCAATTTACCTGTAGGACCAGAGATTTTCATTCCCCATTTCTTAGATCCTCATGTCCTGCTAGGAACCGCTTTAAAATATACAATAACAACATATGTAGGTGTTTTATGTGTGCAATAATAAGGCTTTAGTTTAAGTGTTTAAACTCTTTCTAGCTTTTTGAGTTAGGTTCAGAGAGGTTCATTCTCTGTCTAATCTGTACATTAGGTAAAACATTAGCGAGTAACATAATGGAGATCATATACAAACCCTTTTTTTGAATAACAGGTGAGACAAATTAAAAGGAAAACCTGAATAATGTGTTGAGAAACAGCAGATGCAGAGACTACCAGAAAGAGACACAGAACAATGAAGCATTTAACATCCAGCCATGCTTTGAGATGTGCTGAAAGATTGATTCTGTCAATTATGTTATTGTGTCAAAAGAGCTGCACATTCAAGTTTTTTTTTTTTGTTTTGTTTTAGATTGTGAGTTTCTACCAAACTGCTGGAACAGTAAATGAAAACGGTGATCAGAGCATTATCCTTCACCTGAGGAAGGACAGTGGGAAAGAAGGATGAATTGTTTTAGGGGTCCTAAAAGGCTGGAAGAGTGTGGTTGATGGGCGTAAAGTTAAAAGAAAAGTTACACCTTTTAAAACGTTGACTTGGAATATCAGTGAGGTCAAGTGATCAGACTGTTTCGGCATAAAACAGTCAAAGAAAGGAGGTTATAACAGGGCTTCAGTGCAAAAACCTTCATTAGAAAAGATGAATGCTCATCCGAGAGTTCAGTGGGT